CCGTTTACTTAGTTTAGGTTAGTTAAATAAACTAACGTACCGTACTTACTAGTAATACCTTACTTACTACTTAGTTGTGTGTGTGTCGTGGTCGTTGTCGTTATGTACTAATATTATCGATATATATATATATATATATATATATATATACATATGGTATGGCAGCTCATATTTAGTGTCTCTCTCCCCCCTTTCTCTCTATCTCTCGCTCGCTCGCTCGTTTGCTCTCTCTCCCCCTCTCCCCTTCTCTCTCCCTCTCGGTATCTCCATTTAACTGTCCTTTCGCCAGTTACTGTGTCGGGAGCAAAGCGAGGAAAGTAGCATTTCACATGCCGCGTACTTTTATTCAACGAATCTGATTTCATTAACAGACGCGTGACTGCAACTCATCAAATCAGGAAATGTAGAAGTAAACGGCTAGCACATGTATTCCAAATAATGATACATTTATTATACTTATTGATGTTTGTATTACTGCTTTTACCGCCTTGCACATATTTTAATTCCGATGATTTGTAATTAGCAATGTAACACCATTTCTTTGCCGACACCCCAAGTTATATCTTTTTACGTGCGGGAGAGGTCTACGACAAAAGTGCCAATAATCTTAAACACCTTTAACGTAATCGGCGAATTAGAAACTCGGTTAGTGCTAGATGCCGAATGCAACGTCATTAAGGACAGACGCGACCTTTTCCAATGGTAGCGTCACCTCGTCCTTCGCGTACATTCGCTGTTCATGCATCACAAATCTAGCTCCAAGTGCCTCTATCATCTTTATCGCAGGCGTGTTGTCGCCAGGTGTATGTAAGCAGATCTCTGATTCATCCGGTAGGGCCATTAACACCTGCCTCATCAGCTGTCGCAGTACCTGTTCCGTGTCCCCGTAGAGTGGGAAGATGCCGTAACTCACGTCCCCAGTCATGTTGACGGCAACGACATAACCTGTTAGCTTGCCTTCAGCATCTGTTGCAACAAACACCAGCTTCTTATAAGCCTGTAAATAGGGACGCAGGTAGTCTCCGCGGTCGTGCCCAGCGATGGTTCTGTCGTAGTCGAGTACAGCTTGCAGCATCTCCTCGTTGTATGGCTTCACTATAATATTAGCATCATCTTCCAGCTTCAGGGATGCTGCGATCTTGGCGTGGTCCACTGTACAGTATCGGTTTGTCATAATAAACGATTCCGTGGTGAATCCATGCTTCTTGTAAAACTGTACGCGGTGCATGACGGAGTCAAGCGCTAGGTTACGGTGGCCGGCGTGCTCACGTACACGTTTGAGCAACATGGTCCCTATTCCAGTTCCTCTCAGGTCGCTGCGTACTATGAAGTGACCCACGAAAGCCTCGTTACCGACTACAGCGCAGTTCAAAAAACCTGCAACGAGAGACCATATATACTTATTATCAACGTACACGCTTCTGCTTGTGGGTTTTTATTATTATTGAGTTTATTTGTATATAGCTTGCAGTACGTAGGCGTACGCACTGATTCCCCGATAGGTTACATTGCCTAGAAAGCTCTGCCCCCCTTCCTTCTACCTAATTAGCATTAACTCATTAACCTCCGATGTATTTGTGAGTGATTGTGTAGCTTACGATAGAGCTTGCATTGCGTGTTGCGACTTGCTAGACCTTTACCGCTGCTACATCCTCATTCCCATCTGCATCAGCATGTTTTAGCAATAGGTTACAATCACCGGCACTTAGAACGTTTCAATGATAAAATGATGGTAATGAAACACGTAATGTATTTACTACCAGTTTTAAATGTTTCTTTACTCTCATTCGCCTATTATTACTGAAAATTTTCTGTAAATGCCGTTCAAATGCTCCACTGCAACCATAGAAATATATAGAGACACTAGTCTAACTAGTGTAGGTATATTATTTATATGTCTGCAACACACACACGTACACCGCACGCACGCCGCTGTACTCAAACAACAAAATACTAAACAACAAGTGCAGCAGAGCGACAGCGCTCAACTGACGTGTACTGTAGCCGGGTATTCTTCTGATATACCGAATCCAGAGAGACATGATACAAGATTGCGTGGCACAGCTTTGCTGTTGATCCTAAGTGATGAGACGCGCAGTTCCGCGGGATATGCGCACGCTACCAAGTATGAAGCGCTGTCCGCAGTGGAGACGTGCGCCAAATTCGAGACCCGGCGCACGTCTCCACAGCGGTCAGCGGATGGTCTGTAGTTTTAGAAGATGACAATGATTATATATGGACGATATTCTAGGAATTGGATCGCGCGAGATTATAAAACAGTAACAAAAATCGCTCAGTCATGTTCCAGCTTAGCTGAATCAAAAAGATTTGAATTTAATATGAACAAAACAAATACAATGGTTATAAAATTCACAAACAAAGAAAAGATAGAGAAGGATATATTAATAGGCAACCAAGTAATCAAAAAATGCACCAAATAAACATACCTAGGGGATTTAATTAATGATATAGGAGGTTAGAATGATATGATAAGAGTCCGAACTGAAAAATGTAGGTTAATGATGAGGGAAATATTATCATGGGCAGAAGAGCAAAATTATGGAAATCATACTATAGAAGCAAGAGTGAAATTATACGAATGCACAGTTTTACCTTCCTTCCTAAATAACAGTGAAACATGGACTAACTTAACTAAGGAAGAAGTAAAAATGTTGGAG